CCAACATGGTGAAACTGCGTCTCTACTAAAATTAGAAAAATTAGCCAGCCATGATGGCAGGTGCCTGTAATCCCAGCTACTTAAGGGCTGAGGTAGGGGAATCGCTTGAACTCAGGAAGCAGTAGTTGCAGTGAGCCGAGATCACGCCATTGCACTCCAGCCTAGACGACAGAGCAAGACCCTGTCTCAAAAAAAAAAAGGTACAGTAAGCTACGGTTAATTTATTACTGAAGAAAATATTTTTATATATTTAGTATAGCCTAAATGTACAGTGTTTACAAAGTCTACAAGAGTGTACAGTAATGTCCTCAGCCTTCACATTCACCCACCACTGACTCACCCATAGCAACTTCCAGTCCTGCAAGCTCCATTCATGGTAAGTGCCCTATATAGGTTTTCCATTTTTTATCTTTTATACCATATTTTACTGTACCTTTTCTATATTTAGATAAGTTTAAATATACAAATACTTACCATTGTGTTATAATTGCCTACAGTATTCTGTACAGTAATATGCTGCACAGATTTGCAGCCTAGGAGCCATAGGTTACACCAGATAGCCTAGGTATGTAGTAGGTTTGTGAAAGTACACTATGATGCTTATACAATGACTAAATTGCCTAACGATGCATTCCTCAGAATGTACCCGCATCATTAAGCAGCACATGACTGTATATAGGTAAATACAGAAATGATAATATGTCTGTGTGTATACTTGGGTTAGTATATATATCCTAGCTCTGTCTGCTGAAAGGTCTAATTTCCCCACTCACTTCGGTGTTGGCAAGACTTAGTAACTTGCTTCCAAACAATTGGATATTGAAAGAGTTTTTATATATATAAATGTAACTTTAAAGTACAGAAACCTAGCAAAGATAATCTTAACCAAAGATGAAAGTTAAGATCACCAGTGATGCCATGTTGATAGCATGTAACCTCCTGATATGATGTGACAAGGAGGGTACTTCATCTCTGTGGTATTTTCCCCCAAAACCCATAACTCCAGGCTAATCATAACAAAAACATTAGGACAGTGGACATCCAAGACTCCAAGATGGTGTCAGATCTACCAGTTTAGGAAAAGAACTGTACTCATGGATGTCAAAATAGAGGGATGACACGCTGCATACTGATGTGAGATTTCATCCCTAAAGGCACCGTTGGGGCATTTCAACACAGCCACTACTGGTATTACAAGTATGTCAAAGTGAAGAAAGGGAGCACTCTCAGGGTTTCTACGCTGTTGGCAGCTTACATATTTTTCAACTACTGCCTTTCTTACAAGGAGCTCAAACTTGAAAGGTTACACAACTGATTCAAGGTTTGTGAAAGCACACAAGTGGAAGTACCAAGCCCCTTTTAAACAGCAAAATAACCAACAACAAGCACAAAAAATATTTTATTAAAAGTGACAGTTAAGAGATGACAAAAAAGACGCTTGTTTACAGTAAGAGAGATGAAAGCAGACAAAATAGCACATTGTACAGCCTCAGCTAGGAACACAGGCATCAGAAAACTCAAATTTTTCCACTGCCCTGTGCATGTCCACAAATCACTTCGAGTACTGATTTGGGGGTTAAAATAAATTTCAGCAAGTAGGTGAATTTGCAAGTCTGAATGCTTGAATAATGAGAATTGACCGTAATACAATGTGTTGTTTTAGGCCACTGAGTATGGGGTGATTGTTACACAGCAATAGAATCCCAAAACACACCAAAGACATCTTTTGCCAGGCAGGGTGGCTTAGATTGGGTTCCCAGAACAGACTCTGAGAGAGAATTCTGTCCAATGGTTTGTTGAGAAGTGCTCATAGGAGAACTGCTCACAGAAGGCCGTTGCAACTAACATCTCAGCTGATCCTACAAGAGGCCTTTCCAAGTTGTCCCAAATAGAGGGAAGAAGGCTGGGCCTTTATATCTCTGCATAGCAATTATTTGCTATGGGATACCCCTGTGAAGAGACTTAATCCTGAGGGAATCAGTTCCCTGTGACTGACTGCCCATTTTGTGAGGGGTGCAGCTGTGAATCAGTATCTTCAGAAGCTGAGGGATGGCTGTGATTTCTCTGCAATGGGATCTAGCAGGTACACCACATGTCAGAACACAGGGTGCCTCTTCTGATTGGTTCTGAGTCCTGTTGACATGATAGCTTCCTTGCTATCTAGTATGACAAGAAATTTCAGGCTTATTTTATGCTTTTCCTGTTTCATACCTGTAAATTTTTCAAGTCATTTCTCCAAGAAGCCCTGGTTTCTTTTGGTGGCAAATGGTATTTCCTTTTTTGTTGTTGTTGTTGTTCTTTTTTTGGCGGGGGGCAGGGGATGGAGTTTTGTTCTTGTGGCCCAGGCTGGAGTGCAATGGAGCAGTCTTGGCTCACTGCAACCTCCGCCTCCCAGGTTCAAGAGATTCTCTTGCCTCGGCCTCCCAAGTAGCTGGAATTACAGGCACCCGCCACCACGCCTGGCTAATTTTTTTGTATTTTTAGTAGAGACGGGGTTTCACAATGTTGGCCAGGCTGGTTTCGAACTCCTGACCTCAGGTGATCCACCAACCTCGGCCTCCCAAAGTGCTGGGATTACAGGCGTGAACCACCATGGCCAGCCGGCAAATGGTATTTCAAGACCACTAAAAATGCTTATTGTGCTCTATGTCACTTGCCCCTTATGACTAGAAACTCATAGGGATTTTTGTTGTTTGTTTTTACTTCCTTTTTGTTCAAGTCTCGCATTTTTAGTGAAACTGAGTGCCTGCCAGTCAACAACTCCTCTCCCTGTGTCATCTATCTCTTTCAGGTTCTACCCAGCCACCAAGCTCCTTACCTAGGAGTCCTCGTAATGACCACCTCTGTTCCCCACCTGCCATCTACATCTTATCTGTGGATGAAGGCCAGTGCCTGATTCATGAAAGATAATGCATAAGTATTTGTTGGAAAGAGTAAAATCGACTGATGTTTACTTGGTACTTGATGTTTTGTTCCCTGGGGGGCCATGCCCATCTTTTCTGGTAGCCTGAGGCTATTCCCCAGTAGTCAAGATGCTTGAATGGAATTTCTATTCTCCTATAATAAGAAACATGCTCTAATATTGGCAGACCAAAGGGCACCCCATCTGGAACCATAAACTTCCTGGAGCCTGGGACTTTCCCCACTGCAGGGGCTGTAACCCTGGCCTACCCAGTTGTGTTTTTTCCCCATGATGAAGGCAACCTGGAAAGCAAAAGGGGGACAAAGCAATGAAGTGAAAAGGCAGTGAGAGAAAAGAGTAAGGCAATAGAGAATATATGAGCACCTATTATCTATTATCTATTATCTACCTAATTATCTATTCATTCACTCACTCCCTCACCAAATAGTTCCTAAACTCCTGCTCTGTTCCACGCCTGGAGCTGGAGGACGGAAGATAAGGAAAGATTAGACAGAGTCCCACGGCCATGAAGAACAACATGTCAACCAGTGGAAACAGAGAAATTAACAGGCACAGAGACTGCAGAGTCCAGGGAGCCCAGAAGAAGGCACATTACATTACACAGCCCAGCAGAGTCCACAGGAGTGGTTTGTGGAAAGGGGTAATGCATATATTGGGGCTGAACTGATGAGGAAGAAGAAAGAAGGAAATGAGAAGCCATACTGGCATTCCCAGCAGATGGAACATGGAAAAGGGTCAGTCTGTTCTGAAAGAAAGATGCAAGTAACAGAAATAGGTGGCAAGTCCTGGGCATCCAACTCTTCTTCACGGGCATTTCTGTAGGTCATGACCTAGAACTTGCTGGGTTTAGCTGTAACCAGGTAGAGTTTGAAAAGCGTGTTTTCACTCACTGAGCCCTAGCTGCCTCAGGCAGCAGGTTCTCTCTCTCTCTCTCTCTCTCTCTCTCTCTCTCTCTCTCCCTCCCTCCCACACTTGTTATAGGGCGGCAAGGAGAAGCAGGAAGATGTCTGAGTGTGCCACACCTCAGTCTCTGTCCCTCTTGATGCTCCTGATGCAGGGTTTGTTAAACTCAAGTACCACATTCCCAGCTACAGAGATGCCGATGGCAAAAAAAAAACCAGCAGCAGAACCCACTGGGTAAAGCCACCTGTCAGACTTAATGAGCACAGAAAACTCCTCATCCCTGGCTCTGCCAGAGTTTAATAAAAACCATGAATATCTTCCTAATAAATGGGAAGCCAATTCTTTTATAGAGTATGTTACATACAACCTCACACCCCAGTGAGCAGAGCTTCAGAAACACAGGAGACTCTCCAAACATTTATTTAGTTGATTTCTGAAAACTCCACACTCCATAACAGACTCAATACAACTTGTAGTGTCCCTGAAAGTGGCCACTAGGGCACTGAGGAAAGAGGTGCAAGAATGGGTTGCCCCAAGAGAGCTGGTGTGGCAGAGGCTGTCCACTCGCAGATGGATCCACACTGGGCTGCAGGGGATCTTCTCCCAGCCCCAGACAGTGGAGCCAGAGTGGAAGTCCCAGGCCTCACATTTCTGCAGGGACCTGGTAATGCCTCCTTCACTCTCTGAGCAATCACCCAGCTGGCTGGTTTCTCAAAGTCTCAGGTGGGAGCCCTGACACCAGAACCACGTTGAACGCTTGCTTCACCATTGATGATGTCTCTTCTTTGATAGGTGTTCCCCCAGATATTGATGAGTCACCGTGGCCCACCTGGCAGGGCGGCTGGCCCTCTAGCTGCAATCAGTTCACTCCCTCCTTCCCACCAGCCAGAGCACAGCCCTGGTGCAGGCATGGCTGAGGCAGGTGACCAGAGCACAAGGCAGGGGTACTTTCCAAGGCCCCAGTCTCCCTGCCATGCTCTATTGTATGGATCTCCAGAGGGCCCGTGGATTCCAACTGGGATTTGTGGAAAAGGCACTCAGAAGGAGTGGGAGGTTGGTCAGAGGAGATACCTAAGTGTGAGACTCAGAAACAGGGAAAATAGAATGGGATCCAATCACGGGGTCACCAGGATGCCCAGGGGCATCATCAGACACAGGACTAGGATGAGGGAGTCTGCTGAATTCAGACAGGAAGCTTGTCTCAAGTGATGAATAATCCATTTCTTGTAGAAACTAACTTCTGTGTAAACTCCAGGGTATCCTTTGTTACTGCAGCCAATGCCCCAGCTCACAATCCCCACCTGGAACCATGTGCCATTTAATTCACAGACCAGGGGCCCCCCAGAATCTCCCTGGAAAAAGAAAGATAGTCACTGTAGGAAAGAAATAGCATCCACATCAGAGCAGGCTAATGGCACTGCAATGGGCTGCAGAGCTAGGCACTCAGGGGGCTTCCCCAGGAACCCCTAAGACCCTCCCTAGCCTTGGGTATCTGTCAGTATGAGATCTGAGAATTGACAATTTCCAATAAACCAAAATCATGTACCTACTAAAAAGGTGTGTTCCAAAAAACAGAATATACATAATGAAATCGTGCCTACTCTGAGACAATGATGAGTCAGGGGCTTACCTGAGTACACTGCCTGCCACACAGAAGGGGCTCAAGACATGGAGCATGTATCGTTGGTGGGACCTGCCTGATTCACCCCTCCTCCCACTCCAGGCTGTGTCAGCTGCTCTCTCCTGAAGGATCAGGTAGGCTGTCCAGGAGAGCCTTGGTGGCTTGTCCTCATGTCCCATTACCATGAATAAGGGTAATGGAGAGGCTAGGAGATAACCCAGGCCCTACTGGCTGGGGATGAGGAAGCTTTGAGGAGACCATTACAGTGCTGAGGTAGCAAGAGGCCCATGAACTGACCTGACAGGAATCCTTCCCTTGGTCATTATAGCCACAGACGGTCCCCTTCTTGACCATTTCATTCCTAATTCTCATCTTTTCCTTGAATACCTTATTACATTTCTCATGAAGCATAATGCTTAGTTCAGCCTCCTGAAGCTCAGTTACTATCTTTTTTGATGAATCTGCAGAGAGACAATTTACAACTGAGTGGGTCTGCATAAGTGGGACAGGACAGGAGAACCCCTTACCCACTCTGGGTCTCAATACCGTGTGTTCACACACAGACACCCTCTTAGGCATTGGATATTGTCCCATTTGACAAGGGAAGATATGAGGCCCAATGTTGACATGGGGAGACAAGGACATAAGATCCAAACAAAAACAGGGGAAATAAGAACAGACGGGAAAGGGAAGGCAAGGCATTACCACCCTGAGAAACCAAAACCAAGCATCTGTCACTCTGAATAGTAGTACTAATAGTGACACAGTATCCTGTACATCAGTAAAGCATCTATACTTTCTAGAGCAGGATCACAGACTGTCAGACAGGTAATGGCCCGAAGGTACCAAATCCAGCCTCTCCCCAAGGGTAGGAGGCCCTACACCTCACTGACAGGTCTCTGGCCTCTTCTCATACACAGGAAGCTCCTTATCTACCAGGGTAGGTACTTCCTGGGAGGGACACCTTAAAAGGGCAGACAGCTAGCTCATCACCCCCAGAGTTAAAATCCACCCGAGAGAGAACCCACCATGCCTGGCACCCAAATCCCCAGGTCCTGACAAACTAAAAGAATTTCATAGACCCGTTGTTAAAATTATTCCCTGGCAGCATCTACTGCACCCTCCTCCCTGACTTACTAAAAAAAATCTGCCTCCCTGTCCCTCCCTTTAGCTTGTAGATCAACCCCAGGGCACCAAGCAACATTTTCCCTGGTCTGGGGCTGCTGTAGTCTTGCTTCATAGTCTCACCTGTTTCATTCACTTTGCCCCATCCTGTCACCCAGCACTTCGTATCAGCTTGTACCATGAAAGCCTGTTCAGGGAGGCACACAGGCTGGATGTGCGAGGAGTAATTCACAGGGAAGTGAAGCAGAGCAAGGGCAATGTCATTTTCAATTATCCCAGAAGACGTAAAATATCGGTGGATAACGATGTCACGAACTGGGACTACAAGTGCTGTTTTGGAGCGATGATGCACATTTGTGTCTCCCAGCTTCACTCTGTATTCCAGATGACTGCAGGAAGATCCTCCAGGGTCTACACTCTGCTTCCACACCTTCCAGGTGCTTCCCGCCTGGTACCATCTTCCTATGCCAGCCAGCAGCTACCTCCCTCTTTCCAAACCACATCCCTCCAGGACCCCTGACCACTTTAGCCGGTGGTCTCCAGATCAGCTGCGGCAGCAGCAGCACCTAGAAACTTGTTAGAAATGCTAATCATCAGGTCTCACCCAGACTGGATAAAAACTATGGGGCTGTCACCCCCTTTTACAGATGAGGAAGAGGAGGTTGAGGAAGGGGGACAGACTGGCTCCAGTTCCCGCAGCCTGATCAGGGCCCAAGCTCTGAGCCCCAAACACTCACCCAGAAATGCAGTGGGCGGCAGTAAGCACCCAGCGCCTGGCAATAAGGGAGCCTCCGCAGATGTGTCTGTTGCTGGTGGTCTGCAGGCTCACCTGCCAGGGCCACTTCCTATCTGGGCTCCTCAATCCTCCAATTATCCTTGCAAACCGCTTGCCGCAGGCTGGGGCAGGTCAATGAAAGGAAGGGACTAAAAGTAACGCTGCTGTAGCACCTTCACCATGAGCCTCAGAACCCTCAAAGCAAGGCCTGCATCCCCTGAGGCTCTTTGGAAAATGGCTGTATCCTCCCAGGTCTCAGGGAGCCGCTCCGCCCCTGGACAGATCGTGTCCCCTGAGCCCCTCCTCCTCTAGGGCAGGTCCCCTCCCCCTCAAACCAGGCCAGTTCTCTGCGGCTGGGCATGGCCCAGAAGCGTCACCTGACGTTTAATGCTACTGTCCCGTTGGTCCATGTTGATGATAGTGTGTGGGATTGCCAGAGCCTGGTAAGAATCAGACTCACCTGAGGGAAATAACACCGGAGCGGGGGTCACTGTCTTCCGTCTGGACTGACCGGCCGCTTGGGATCCTGGAGCCCCTACAGGTGGCGGCTCCCATCCGCTCGCTCCGGAGTCCTGGCCGCCTGGCCCTGAGGGGAGAGCGGAGGGGAAGAACAGTGCTACACCTCCCTGCGCACCCGCCCTGCCCGCCCGGGCCTCGTCGAGCCATGGCTGAAGAAGCAAGAGCCAGGCCAGGAGCCCGAGGGAGCTGCCGCCCTGGGACGCCATGGATACTGCCGGCAACCTCAGCCTCCGTGGTGGCGCCGCCTCGCAGCGGTTTCCACGCCTGCCATGCGTTCTGGCTGGAGGCTGGAGCGCCCGCGAGGGACGAGGGGGAGGGGCCGGGACACCGGACCGTCCGAGGGGCGGGGCCTAGGCGGGGTCGCGCCGTGCAGTCCTGACTCAGATGAGTCCTCTCTTCGCAGCTCTCCGTGGACTCAGGTCCCTCCACCTCATCTGGCGCCTCCCTGGCATTCAGTGTCTCCTGGCCTAGGTCCCTGGCCTCAGAGTGGCAGCGGTCCAGCCCTTTGTTCATACAAAGACGCGTCCACTACTCTACGGCAGAGCTTCCTCCAGGCCAGGACTTTACCAGAGTCTCCCTCCCTTATTTGTCTGCAATAAAATTTAAAACTCTTTAACATGCATGTTGCACTTAACATTACTAACCACTGCGTTAGAGACGATACTGCTACCTTTTTGAAAATCAACACCCACATGAAAAGATGTTCAACATTGAGGCAGGATAGATAGACCATGTCCTCGGGACGCAGCAGCCGTGATGACCTTTCCACAATCAACGCCATAAACCTCAGCATTCGCATTGTAATTGAGCTCATTCAAGCAAAGCTATCTTCAGCAAGAAATTTCCCCTGTAGAGTGCATGCACACTTCGATTTTACCTTTCTCAAACTGACCCTTCTTTCATTATCACAGTAAAAAGCACACCCCGGGTGTAGATTTCAGATGCTGATGAGACGTGCGATGTATGAACAAGTATGCACAGCTACTGTGCATGTACACCCATAGGACCACCCAGAACATGCTTACTAATAACACCTCTTTCCACTCCTTATAAATAACCATGTAATACTCCCATAAAGAGAGTCTCCCTAGTGCCAGTCTTCACTGTCTCATCCTTATAAGCAGACCACTCTGAATCATCTCTCTCTGAGGGTGTACTGTCTATTCTGCACTTAACTTTCAAAATATTCTTTTCCCTTTACAATAAATTACTCTATGCTCCATCTCCTTTGCTATGCATCTCTTATTTAAATTTTTTTAAACTAAGAAGACAAGAACCAAAGTATCATAACAACTGTCAAGAGCATCATGAGTCAATAACAAAATGGAAATTAAAACCACAATGAGATATCACTACACACCTATCAGACTGGCTAAAATAAATAATAGTGACAACATCAAATGCTGGCATGGATGCAGAGATATTGGATCACTCATACATTGTGGTGGGAATATAAACTATTACAGCCACTCTGGAAAACGGATTGGCAGTTTCTTATACAACAAAATAAGCAATTACTATACAACCCAGTAATTATACTTCTGGGTATTTATCCCAGAGAAATAAAGATGTTCACACACACAAACCTGTATAAAAGTTTGTAGTATCTGTACTCACATAGCCAACATCTGGAAACAATCCTGTAATGAACAGAATAATGGCCTCCCAAAAATGAGCACACTCTAATCCATGGAACCTGTGAATATTTTACCATACATGGCTAAAAAATGTGATTAAATCAAGCATATTGAGACAGGGGATTATTCTGGATTATCCTGGTGGGCTCAATGTAATACCAAGTATCCTAGAGGGAGGAAAGAGAGTCAAAGTCAGAAAAAAAAGATGTGATGTCAGAAGCAGAGGTCAGAGAGAGAGTTTTGAAGATGCTATACTGCTGACTGCAAAGGTTAAAGAAGGGGCCACAAGCCTAGGAATGCAGCAGCCTTTAGAAACTGGAAATGGCAAAGAAACAGATTTTCCCCTAGAGCCTGCAGAAGGAAGACAGCTGGCCAACACCTTGATTTTAGGACTTCTAACCTCTAAACTACAAGATAACACATATGGGTTGTTTCAAGCCACTACATTTATGGTAAATTATTACAGCTATAATAGGAGATGAATACAAACCCTAATGTCCTTCAGTGGGTGAACAGTTAAACAAATAGTGGTACATTCATACCACAGAATACTACTCAGCAAAAGATAGAATAAAATATCAATAGAGGCAACAACTTGAATGAATTTCCGGGGAATAATGCTGAATCAAAAAAGCCAATCCCAAAAGGTTGCATGTTGTATAGTTCCATTTATATAACACTCTTGAAAACATAAAATTTGAGAAATGAAAAGTGGATTAGTGATTGTCCAGAGTTAGGGAGGTAGGCATGGTTTTGTAAAGGCAATACAAGGAATACTCTGGTAATGAAATTGTTTTGTGTCTTGACTATGGTGGTAGAGACTCACACATATGATTAAATTGGATAGAATTATACATACATCTTGACTTGCACACCCTCACAAATTAGCACAAGTAAAATTGGAGAAATCTGAATAAGATAGATGGATTGTATCAATGTCAATATCCTGGTTGTGATGTGGTACTATCATTTCTCAGGATGTTACCACTGCGGGAACTGGGTAAATGGTATAGAGGATTTCTATTATTATTTCTTACAATTGCATGTGGATCTATTCAATTTCATAAGTTATCTCAAAAAATTTTTTAAACTTAATTTATAAAACAACACACTTAATCATAAAGCTTTAATAGTATAAAAATCTGGCCAGGCTCAGTGGCTCACACCTGTAATCCCAACACTTTGGGAGGCTGATATGGGTGGATGACTGGAGCCAGGAGTTCAAGACCAACATGAGCAACATAGCGAGACCCATTCTTTACAAAAAAATAAAAACTAGCCAGGCATGGTGCTATACACCTGTAGTCCCAGCTTCTCAGGAGGGTGAGGTGGGAGGGATCACCTGAGCCTGGGATGTCGAGGTTGCAGTGAGCCATGATTTCACCACTGTACTCTAGCCTGGGCAACAAAGCGAGACCCTGTCTCAAAATAAAACAAAAGAAATAAAGATAAAAGTTTGTATACAGTATTGTTATTGTCTAATCTTGACCCCAGAATATACACTTCTAAAACCAATTAGCCTATCTGATATAAACATTAGCAATATATTATTATTATTAAGGCAAGTTATTTTCATTGTAGAAAAATAAGAAAAAAAACAAGCAAACCAAAGAGGGAAATCTCATTATCTTCACAATTGGGCACATATTTTGGAGCCCATTTTTTCATTTAACAATATATTCTGTTAAAAATCTAAAAAAGCTAAAAAAAATCAACCTCAGAGTACAATTTGCCATCTTTTCTAGTCATCTTTAGGTTTACTGATCCAACCTTTGTTTATCTCAAAACGTATTAGAATACTTCTTTTGAAGTCATTGTATATTATTTCCTTGAAGGAGAAACATTCTTTGCTGCAGTCCGATCTCAACATCCAAGTTCTAGATCTTAAGCCATGTCCAGGCAACATTTTTCACAATCTCTGCTGTTTTTCTCCTGTGCAGTTGATGAATTCAACCCAATTACAACCATGTTAAAGAACAGACTTGCTTTGTTTTTTTCAGCATCCAGAACCATATGGGAAGCTATGATTATCTCTTCATAGGTGGATGAACAGATTAACCAATAATTGTAATACAGTATGATAAGTATCTTGAATGAAAGACATGTTTGATACCTTTTGAAAGCCAATTTTTCAGTGACTATCAACATTTAAAATAACATCCTACCTAGTAATTTCTCTGCTGGTTTATTCTATACAGATATCCTTTCAGAAAACATACCAAGTATGCCAAAATATATATAACAAGGCCCTGCAACAACTGTTTGTAATAGGAAAGCACCATTTAAAAAAATGTAAATTCTTATCAATAAGACGCTGGTTATAAGGAAATATCTTCATGACCATGGAGTAAAGAATTATTTCTTATACAAGATACAAAAAACACTGACCATGAAGAAAGATTAATAAATGTGACACCTTTAAATTAAGAACCACTGTTCATCAAAAGGCACCATAAAAATTTGTGGAAAAAATTAAAAGCCACGTGGTGGGGGGAGATATTTGCAACACACATAACCAATTAAAAACCAGTATTGAGAATATCAAAAGAACTGAAAATCACTCACAATACGGCAGATACCTTGAAGGCGCTGCACAAAAGAAGAAATACAAATGGCCAATAGGAGTGACAAAGGAAGATTCAGAAATAAATGCATTTAAAAAATAAATAAGTTTCTTTGTAGGGTGCGAGAAAGTCAGACCTCAGAAGAATTGATTCGTCAAACCTATACAGTGAGCATTTAAAGGAAAAAATGCCATAAAATTACCAAGATCACCAGGCTTAAATGAGTCTGTTCAAACTGAGAACACAGCAACTTTCTCACATGACCATCATGTTCACAAAGGTTATAACATATATTGAGACATCAGCAGAGTAAAATTAAGAGACAAAATCATTTTTGTTTTGTTTTGAAGTCTAGGTTTGCAGGAATATTGACAGTTTTATTAGTTTGGTATCACAATTAGATAGGATGCCCCTGTTACATTTTGGTTTATTTCTGGAATCAATCCCCTGACTATGCCATGGGGAAATACTTGGGCATTAGAAGTAAGGTAGAGTGTTGGTTTTTTATTTACAGACCCCCCTTGTGGTAAAGTTCCTTCCATTAGGGCAAATTTCACCAAATGAGTTGCTTAGAATTTTCTGATTCCATACCATTAATTCAAGAGTTTTGTATTACTCAACCAGTTTATTTACAAAGGAATAACAAAAGGCATTGTTTAATACATAAAGACCTCTGTGACAGACTGCAAAAATGACCACAATACTTTGCAGTTCCTCCTGTCAAGAGACGGAGTCAGCCTGCGGTATAAGCAGCCTTGTCACCGGGGATATATGACCTGGCAAATACCATGGTGCTAGAGTTTGCCATGGTTAATTAAAATGCTGTAAAGAGTCTCTGATATGTCATACCTAGAGAGTCACAGTGTAGATCTCTCAGTTCTGGAGCAAGATCATACCATCTGCAGCAAAGAAACTACATTATTTGAAAAGCAACTCCTGACACACTACTAAACCCTAAAGGAAACTAAGTGCCAGACCACAAAACATCAAGTGACCAAGAAACTG